TGGGGGGGGGGGAAAGTCAACTGTCTTTTTAAACAGGTGCACTCGAAGATCCCATACACCTCTTTATTGCGCATGGTAGGAAGAAAGAACACAGCCACGGTGTCTAAGGGCACCTACCATACACGCCTTTATTGCGCGTGGTGGGAAGGCTTGTCTCCTTATAAACACCAAAAGACAAGCGAGCAAAATGTGAAGGTCCACCAATTAGATACATCTATCTCCTACAGGTAAAAGTGGAGAATAAGTTTTATTCTGCAAGCTATAATTTATCATGAGGATGATAAAAGATCTGCAATACATATGAGTCCTTTACGAATACATATATATGTACAATATTCACCAATGGGTAGATGCTGAAAGACTTCAGTAAATGCAGTATCATGAAGTCAATTTTAGCCTATGAATGAATACTTCTACCTGCCTATGAGGAACAATAGCGAATGAGCTGAAAAATCCAAAGACTATAGCCACCAGTTGTACACCTAATATGTCGTCAACTAGAAAGTCACAAGGGAATTACAGTAGATGCATAAATATACAACTAAAAGAAGGAGATTAGTTAGTGCACTACAATTTACATGTGTAAATCATGCAAGTAGTGTACAACAGTCTACCTGTATAAGGCAGCAAATAACTCAATTCAGAAGCTGCTACAATACGCCAACGGATTCGTAACATCCATACATGCTGACAGAAGGTGTTTATAAATATTCAAAGAGTACCCCCGCACATGTACCGTAATATATATATATATATATATATAGGTACACAAAAAGGGTACAAATCTAATCACCAAAACTAGCATGGGCCATGACGAACGTGTTATTGGTACACACGTGACGTCTAGGGATGTTGTGCGGGTTATTAAATTTGAACCCAATCCTCCTAAGAAGATAAATAGGAGTCTACAAGGTTTAATAAATAATTGCAAAATTCCCCTAAATATCCGCATGGGCCCCGACGAGCGTGTTATTGGTACATATGTGATGTCTAGGGATGCTGCGCGGGTTAATAAGTGAATTCAAGTTCGAACCTGATCCTCCTATATGGATCAATAAGAGTCAACATAGTTTGAACCATCAAATAAATACATGGTTGTGAAAACCGGTATATTTATTTTAGTATATTCATATTAGGCCTTCAAATCTTATAATCAAGAGAATTCACTAACAAAGGAATAAAGCATATGAAACTTGATCCTCCTAAGCAGGTAAATTTGAGTGGAAAGGGTTCTAATCATTTGATAAATATACGGTCACGAAGTCGACTGATATATTTATTTTAATACATTCATATTAGGCCTTCAAGACCTACACTCAATATGAATTCACTAATAAAGGCAAAAATTCTACAAAAATTGATCCCCTATCATCAAGTTGATAGGATAGACAAGGTTCAATCTTTAAATGAAAATAATCCCAAACTCTCTTATGATGGCCGCGTTGAATGTTTATTTCAATTAGAGGAGTTCACAAATACTTTCAAATGCCTCCCAAATGCTCAAACACCCTCAAAGTCAAAATCTCCATTCACCCCCCGCAACAATTTATCGGGGTGGACAAATTAAAATTTACTTAAGCTCACATGGAGCTAATGCCTAGTAAAAAATATCACAATGATCCATTCTCAAACAATTTCTTGCGAATAAAGACGTGGTACGTGTCCTCTAACCGACGGTTTTGTAGCCAAATGACACCGCAGGATAAACGGTTATGACGCCGGGCCTTTTGAACCGAGTGGTTTTGCCGTCAAATGGCACCATGAAATATCAGTTATGGCCAGCGCCGATACACTCCTTAGTGGAATCAAATCCTTGAGATATGAATCAATAGTATATGGTCAATAGAGTACAAAGCCCTCTGTTAGCTAAGGTGAATTCAAATTTATCCCCTTAAACAAATATTCAACCCAAGTCTACAAGGTACCCTTGGACGAAGTAACCCATGGCTGCCGAAAAAGATCATTCTGTTAGGTTGGGTCGACTACCTCCTCTGACTAAATAGACCAGGGACCATGATGGCCCGGGACGACGGAACCATGTGATCTTAATCGGGTCTATCATTCATTCCCCCACCATCCACTTTATGTGCAAGATGGAACAATTTTCAATTTTAAATATCATATCTCCAAATCTCCCCATCCTCCAAATTTTCAAATTCTCTAACCAATCCAAATACCCATGCTGCTACTATATGCCAGATAACACGTATCTCTATGTATTTGATTGACGAATAGTCTTAATCGAAAGTTCTCCCTCATGATCGAGAGGGATAATTAATTATATGGGCTTGCGCCTATAGGAAACAAGAACTCTGATCTTGAAATTCTCGCAAAATGAGGATGAAATCTCTGGTTAGTGTCTAATCTACAAACCCATCTGCCTTCCAAAATTTATCCCGGAACTTAATCTGTTAAAACTCCCCCTCGCAGAAAGAAAATCAAATAGTGCGGGCGGAGGCCGGGGCCGAATTTTCGGAGCCCACAACTATCTATCTGATGGATGCAACTCCTCATTGTTCCCAACCTTTTTGATATCTTCTTTTCATCATTCCATTAATCAATGCCAGAGAGTGCTTGCTGTTATTCTGCTTCCCAGGCCAGGTTCTGAACACTCCTTATCTTGAAGGATAATCCGTTTGGACTAGCCAACAGAGCAACCTACAAGGATTTATCTAAAATTTTGTGGCCAACCAAGTGTTACTATCATTCTAGTTAATCGTAAGGTTTTTTTCTTGTTTATTCTTAGCCAACACTAATATATATAAGTCCTTTATTCTACTATTTTAAACATTTTTTCTTCTTCCTTCTCAGTCACTGGATACTGTGTCCATTATTTTAAAGAATTCTCTTCAACAGCCCTATGTCTACTTAATTTTTTACTAAACCGGAACAACACATTGGTACATGAACCCTCTAACTTGTTTCGCAACTCGGACCTCTAATAGGTACCAAGTTTGAAATCAATGAATTATTTTCATTAATCATTCTTGAATTAATAGAGCCAAGGACGACCCTACTTGAAGAAATGTAGCAACACTATTATATTGACTGATTCCTACAGAAAATAGTAATAAAACTTCTCATTCAAACGCTTGCTTTTAAATCACCATTGTTAAACTATCCTTATATGCTTAATTGGTCAAAAAGGGCAACTACATATCCAAACATTTAATGTTAACATCAATAATTGAAAAGTAGAATGGTAGCATGCAGCTATCTCTACCATGCAGAAAAAAATTTAAACATTCTTAACGTAAAAATTTCAGCTGGTTCCAATACGAACCTTAGCAATTTCTTTTACTTGTTCGCCAAAAAACGAAAAAAAATCTTATTATGCAATTGTTGTCATCGCTGTTTTATTTTTTAAATAATTTTTCGACTTGTTCGAGAGAAATACGTGATAAATTCCCTGCTATTACTGACCTGTCATCTCCGTCCTAACAATTCGAGAAGGAAACTTTCATTGCAGTTGTTTTCTACTGAGTGGACTCCATTTCAAATGGCTTAGTTTATGCCCATCGCTTTCTGGTTGCTGTCTCAGTTGTGCCGACACATACTAGAAACCAACCAATATGCCCGCTCTTTCCATTACACAAAATTCTATATTCATAGGAGCTCCTTTAAATTAATCCAAAAAAGCAACAAATCTATAATCAACTCAGCGTTTATTCTTCCTTTATTTTCTTTATGCGCTTTCTTTCTTTCCCACTTACCTTTAGTTTTCCTTTTATTTCTTCTTCATGGAATGCTGTGCGTTGCAGGGCTCCAGATTCCCTCCTGGGTTTCGCTTCCATCCCACAGATCAAGAACTTATAATCCATTACTTGAGGAAGAAAATCACGGCTTCTTTTCCTCCGCTGCCTGCCATTATTGGTGACATCGATCTTTACAAGTTCAATCCATGGGAGCTTCCTGGTGCAGTAAAATTATTGTTTATTGTGTGCCAATATTTCATTTTAGCTTCAAGAAATCCAAATTAAAATTACGTACTGATTTACATATTCATGTTCTATATAAGAGTTTTTATCAACTAGTCATGACATTGTGCAAGCTTGTTCTTTTCTTTTGCTTTAGAGAAAGCTTTATTTGGTCAAGAAGAATGGTTCTTCTTCAGCCCTCGTGATCGCAAGTATCCTAATGGCTTCAGACCAAATCGTGCGGCGGCGTCTGGCTTTTGGAAGGCTATTGGCACCGACAAACCGATCCTTTCTTCTGGTGGAAGCGAATGCCTCGGCGTCAAGAAGGCCCTTGTGTTCTACAAGGGAAGGCCTCCCAAGGGAGTCAAAACTGATTGGGTCATGCATGAGTACCGCCTATTAGACAACAATCCTTCTCATCATCTTTTGCACAAGGAGAAGGGCTCTATGCGGGTAACAAGCTAAAATTAACCATTCTTTTTATTATTTGTAGTACAATTTAGCTTGCAATCTCTTACCAAAATATTTGCCTTCAGTTGGACGATTGGGTTCTATGTCGAGTACATCAGAAGGGAAGTTTTATAGGGGAAAACATTGAGAACCTGGAGATCAGAAGTTCTAAACCTGCGATCATAAACAGTAATGAAAGCCAAGGCAGGCAGGCGGTGACGAATGAGTATGAGATTAGCAACTATATTGATTGGAATAACCCACAACTTTTGTCTTATTGTTTGGAGTCTTCATTTGGAGGAAAGAACAACGAGGAGATTTTGATTTCAGATTCTGTTGTTGGATGGTCACAAATATGAAAAAGGTGACGATGTGCCATAATTGATTTTGCATGTTTAAGTTTAAATAGTATAAGAAGTTTGGTTTGTAATTAAAAATGCATCTATGTTTGAATTTTATAATTGTGTACTTTATCTTAATCTAAATGGTTGATTATTCTAAATTGTTGAACACCTATTGTATGAAATAATTGTAATAATAAAGCAATTATGTATTGTAGCTCCAGAAAGATAAAAGTCATGTCCAAAATTCATTATCATTATCTTTTTTGTCTGTGTTGGACCTCGATTGTTGAAGTGGAACATTTTTGAATTTTTATAATTGGTTTATAACACCAACAGGTATCACCTCGTACTTTTTTTTTTGGTTGAAGGGAGAAGGTGATAAATTCCAGTTCAGATATGGCAAATATTTACTCGAAATTCTTCAAATACTGGTAGAATTTCCGGCGGTCTAGCTTAGCCGCCGGAAATATTGATATCGGATGTTTTTTGTTTCCACCAGAATATATGATAAACAGCCGGTAGTTACCTGCGGCTTTCTAGCGGTTTTGACGGTCTGGCCGTCGGAAATAGCAGCGGTTATGCTGACGGTAATCACCGGCGATTTTCCTGCGGTTTACTAGCTGGTAAGTTTTGGCGCCTATAACCGCCAGAACACTGCCGGTAAATATTGCCGAAGGAAAATAGCCGTCAGTTTCAATTTCATACGCGGTTTTTTCCAGTAGGGTTTTAACCGCCGAAAATTTTAATTACCACCGAAAAATCGGATTTTCGGCCGAAAAATTTTGCCGGTATTGAACGTTTTCCTTTTTTTATGTTTTTTAATTGGATGTTTCTTTTAGTGAATGACTAAGGATGAATGATTGGCTATAGCCTCTGAACAAAACTTTGTATTATTTGAGCTGGCTTTTCATATGACTTCATATGCTCGCCAACTTTATTGAATACAACTGGTTGGTTGGCAAGCATAATACTTATCAATGCACCTTGGTAAGCTATATCAAATATGTGGAATTGCTATTGCAATCCCTGACTTGAATTTCTTGGACACTTGTGCTTTCCACGAGCCAGGCTCCAAAGAAAAATTGTTTAATGCTTTTCATCATATGAAAATTACTAGAGATAAAGTGCCCTATTGCCAGTGACTTATTAATCCGCCGCACCTTGTGGTAATGGCCTATCTCATATGAGATATAGTTTTATATTGTCCATCCAAGTTAGTGCATCGTTAATCAAGATGGAATATACTAGTTCGATGGATTGTGAGATCATCTTCTTTTTGCATGAAATTCAAATGAAAATTTTGATTGTACTATCATTTTCAATTTACAATGATGTTGGTTGAAATTTAACTTTAGCTTATACCATAAATTCTTTCAATCAAATTGATTTGTTAGTTTTTCATTGCAAAACTGATAAAAACCTTTATATGTTTTTTATCCATACAAGAATTAATACTATATAAAAATAACATATGAGCGAAACTTACCACAAATAGGGTATGATCATAGAGCTCGAAGTACTTTGATGCAACCTATGTTCTTAAATCAAGTAAGAGAATACTATACATACAAAAAAGACACTTCTTTTCAATATCACATAAACAAAAACCAAATGATGGAAACTTAGTAGGAAACAAATGTGGGAAAATGGTTAGAAAGTCATGCAAGAAAGAAAAAAACAAAAACAAAACAAAACACATGAACTATACTACCCTCAGAACAACGACAAATGGTCACCTCACTTGCAAACACAAATTAGAGAAGATGCTAAAAGGAAAGGACAAACCATAGATCCATCAAAAAATTTATGATCCAGCACAAGGCTGATCTCCTCTAGCAAATACCAATATAACAAGGAACAACACACCTTACAATTCAAAATATTTAGAGAAGAAGAGTACAAGAGGAAGGGAAACCGTGGAGAGAAGAAATAGGAAGAAGGCCGAGAGGAAGAACTGGGTTAGGGAGAAGATGGATCGCAAGCTAAGAAGAAACCCTCGAGTTTTTATTATTTTCACTCACCCAAAATTGTTTTTAACTAAAGATTAGAGATACAGGTGAAAGGGAAACCATGGAGAGAAGAAGTAGAAAGAAGACTGAGATGAAGAAATAAGGAAGAGGGGAAGACTAGCTTACATGCTAATAAAACCCTCAGGTTTACATTTTTTTTTCAAAAACATCTCCACCATAATGAAATTCAGTCACTATATATAAAAGAAAGAGCATTTATATCCTCACATTAATGTGCCCCCAAAATAGCTAATAAGAATCACCCAAACTAGCCCACAAGAAGAGAAATCAAGCAGCCAATAGCGAAACCAATTAAGATGACATTAATGAAACAGAATAGCCAACAAGGCAATTGAGTGGATAGCAGAGAAACCGAACATCCAACAAGGAAACTGAGTGGATAGCAAGGAAACCAAGCGATCAGTAGGGAGATTGAGTGGAAAACAGAGAAAAACTCAAGAAGTGATTAAAATAAGTGAAGAAATAGGACAAGCCCAATTAGGTAATGAAACAACCCACAAATAATCGCCCAACAAGTCACCAAGGAGCAAGATCAACACAGATGGAAAGACAATGGTGTAAACTGACCTAAGAGCACCAAACCCAGCATGGCCATGGGTTGTTTTCCATCATAGGGCATTACAAAATAAAACATAGCGTTTAACAAAAACCAAAAAAAAAAAATATAAAATTTAAATTCTTGACTTCATCATACTTTCAAGAAATAATCTATAGTGATATACTTATATGCTCTACAAGATATTCTATGGAAAAAAATAATAAAATTTAGGACCGCAAAAGATAAAAACACACCTTTGTCCAGATTATTATGGAAGGAATGTGAATACAAATACTTTTTTTTTTATGATTATTTTAAGTAGAAGGGACTATACCCTCATTAAATTTAATAGATAAATAGGTATATTGACATAAAAATGACATTCAAGATTTTTATTGAAGATAAATCGGTATATTGACATTAAAATAACAAGCTAAAATTAAGCATTATTTTTATTATTTATAATACAATTTAACTAGCAATCTCTTACCAAAATATTTGCCTTCAGGTTGACGATTGGGTTCTATGTCGAGTACAACAGAAGGGAAGTTTTGCAGGATCGAGTAAACATTGAGAACCTGGAGATCTGAAGTTCTAAACCTGCGATCATAAGCAGTAATGAAAGCCAAGAGAGGCAGGTGGTGATGAATGAGTATGAGATTAGCAGCTATATTGATTGGAATAACCCACAACTATTGTCTTATAGTTTGGAGTCTTCATTTGGAGGAAAGAAGGAGATTTTGATTTCAGATTCTGGTGTTGGATAGTCACAAATATGAAAAAGGTGACAATGTGACTTTTTTTTTTTTTTTTTTAATTAAAACCCACGGAGGGGCCTACGTGTTAATATCAAAAAGGAGGTTACAAAGTCCTTAAAAGGATCCACTAGCTCGCTAATGCTCGAATGAGCTACAATGAAAAGATAAAAAAGCCTAATGAGCCTGTGGTTCCTTAATCTAAAATTACAATATGCAAAAAGAAAATGACAAGGGCTGAAATTGCTCAGCACCCAAAAATTGAAGCTCAAAGGATAGTCGTTGGACATAGGCTTCCTGTAAAAAAGGAGATACAAAAAGGAAAACAGCACAAAAAGTAACCAGAAAAGACTAACCTGAGGCACAAAGCAGTAGACAAAGATGAAGAATGAGTAACACCTGCAATGAAACCTCCAAAACACCAAGAAAGATGTGAAAATTTTTAACATATCATTGATGAAATTAAGTAAATCGACCATAGATGTGTTGATGCTATAAAAGAGAACGATTTTCCTCGGATAATCAGATAAATTTCGTTGAAAACGCAGATTCAGAATAGTATAATGGAATTGCAGCTGCAGCACGCCGAATGGCACAACGATTCTGTAATGCACACAGATGTGCTTCAAATGAAACAAATAAAGGTGCAGATTAATAGAGATACAACCATTGATACACATAATATTAAGATGATGCCTACAGAAAATCATATGGATAACAGGGCCAGATAAGTGACAGATCTCACAGTTATGAGAATACAGCTTAGGATTCAGCCACGGCAAGCAGCAATTCAAAATGAAATGGTTAAACAGAGAAGTAACCAAAAACATGGAGAACCAGCTGCAGGTAAAAAGAAAAACCAGAGAACTGAGAAGAGGATATCCGCAAGACGAATTACTCATGTCTAATATACGGCAAGCCAGTGTTATCTAATTTGATCAAAGCATGTAAAGTAGGATTCAGCTCGGAAGGATTTAATTCAACATATTGATCAATATTGCAGCCATAATTAGCTAACCAATTGGCACAAGTATTAGCTTCACGAAAGATATGAGATATATAATAAGTAACAGTATTGAGAAAAGTCTTAATTTTCCTAATAAGATAAAAGCAATTAGGATTTCCCGGCACCAAGTTATTAATTATCTGAGTTAGGAGCAAGGAATCAACTTCAATCCAAATGAAATTAAAGCCCAGCTTAGAACACAATTGAAGGCCAACAAACAGAGCATAGAGCTCAGCATGAATAGCAGAAATACAGCTGATCGGTTCAGCAAAGGCAGCGACAACATTACCAAAAACATCACGGATAATACCACCAGCCCCAGCATTAAGATGACCAAAAGAACCATCAGTATTGAGCTTAATGTATGGGGGCTTGGGTTTAATCCATTTAACAAATTTTTCAGCAGAATTAACATGAATATTAGAAAAGTTAAGCCCCAAACTCTCAGCTAAATGATAACAATTTTTAAAATTTTTTCTGGATAGGAGCTTGTGAGCATGCATTTGAGTAATCTTGTTTTTAACATTAGATATAATGACATCAGCATTCATCTTAATACCATTATGCTTGGCATTATTACGAGCTTGCCAAATATACCACACAATAAGAATAGGAATCAGGTTGAGAATATGACCTTTAAAATTCTGAAACCAATTCTTGAAAACAGAAGCAAGGTTGTTGTCAATAGTAGTGGACGGTTTCTTAGCAATGCTATTAAAGAAACTCCAAATTTTAACAGCAATGCCACCAGAAACAAATAAATGATCCATACTTTCAATATTCGAGCAGCACAAACATTTAGAAACCAGTTGAAAACCTTTAGATTGAAGCCTCACATCAACAGGAATATAACCTTT